GAAAGAAAGAAAGAAAGAAAGAAAGAAAGAAAGAAAGAAAGAAAGAAAGGAGCCCTTTAAATATATACTTTATACTTTTTAAGTAAAATTCAAAGTCTTTTATAAAGTCTCTAATTTGTATGCGATCATCCACTTGCATAATTTTACATCTCGCCCCAGTATTAGTCAATGATGTGTAATGAACTCCTCTCTTGAATATTTTCAGTTTTGATTTTTAACCACAGGGTTTTGACTTAAACTTCATATATTTATTAATATCCATGGCATGTGTACTGTGAGCTTTCAAAAGGCATAATTCAACAAAATTTGGGTTTAAGTGATATGAAGCCCACTAATTCCTCTCTTTTGAAAATGTTTCCCGGAGGCACTGGGGATTCCATTTGAAGTAGATTGATCTCCACGACTCTTTGCAATGTGAAAGCTTCAGTTTTCAGAGAAATTAATTACACGTGCTGCAGCTAGAAGAGGTCGTTGGGATTCATGGAGCTTATTGTTTGCTCATGCCTACCCTGTTTGTTGCCGTGCTTCCTTCCTCCGTCACCCGAACACATTAAACACCCATCTCTGTTCCAGAAAATTGCCCATATTTTACGTTTGATCTCTCATCACATTTTTGAAGTCTTCCACTATCTGCCATCCATTCAGGCTTTCTGATTCATTCTCTGCTCGCACCGAATCCTAACTGAATACCCTTTCTTTAATAAGGAAGTGACTCTGGCGTTATCCTGAGAAAGACCCAGAATGTTTTGCTTTGGCTCAGATGGGTACATACAGTTTCTCTCATACCTTTTTCCATGTAAGAAAAAATAGACGAGAGAAATACAAGTGGCCCTTTTGTTAAGCCATGGTGTTGTGTTTTGACCAGTTTGGGTACCTCAGAGTAGGGAATTAGAACCTCGCTAGAGTTTACTACTTGGGCAAAAGAACAGGGAGAGCCACTCACCTTGATGGACTGCGTTAATCTGCCGCAGCAATAACTGTTTTGCTCGAGGGAATATTGGACACATCCAGCTGGTGATGACAGAAAGAAAAACATTGCTGAAGTAACATTCTGCCTTAGAGTTTGAAATTATTAAAACTAGATATATCTAGGAGATAAATTTTAGAGAGTTAGTAGCTGACCACTGCTTACTGATTGGAAAGTTTACCTTAGTACATAATGCAGACTATGAAAACTGCTGGATTAGAGAAAAAAGTAGTAGAGCTATATCACAGCAGTGGAAATTTATGTGTGTGTATATCTGTGTGTGTGTGTATAATATGTATATATAAAATGCATATATAGAGAAAAGAGATATATAAAACATCATATTTACTAATTTTAACCATTTTTAAGTGTACAGTTCTGTGGCATTAAATATATTCACATTGTTGTGCATCCATCAGCATTATCCATCTCTGGAAAATTTTTGTCATTCTCAGCTGAAATATTGTACCCTTTAAACAATAACTCCATATTCCTTCTTAACCCCAGCCCCTGCAGCCGCCATTCTGCTTCTTGGCTTGTTAATTTGACTAGTCTTCATTCTTAAGCTCTATGTGTCCATGGATCTAAAGTGAGTCCCTTGTGGTCAACACATAGCTGGATCCTGTTAACTTATTTATATGTTATTTAATTCATTCTGCCAATCTATGCCTTTTGGTTTGGGAGTGTAATGGTTTACTAGGGCTGCCATAACATTGCGCCACACCACAGGCCGGATGGCTTAAACAGCAGAAACTGACCTCAACACAGATCTGAGGCTAGAAGTCTGAGATCAAGGTATTGGCAAGGTTGGTTTCTTCTGAGGCCTCTCTCCTCGACTTGTTGATGACTCTTCTTCCTGCGGTCTTGCATCTGTGTTTCATTGTCCTAATCTTCTCTTCTCATAAGGTCACTAGTCATACTGGATCAGGGCCCACCCTTTTGACTACAATATCACTTAATTCTTCAAATAACCTATCTGCAATGACAGTCACGTTCCAAGGTGTACTGGTGGTCAGGATTTCAACATATTCATTTTTAGGGGGAGGGACATAATTTAGTCTGTAACAGGGATTATTCCATTTATATTTAAAGTAATTACCTATAAGGGAATACTTAACCATTTTACTATTTTCTTATTTGATTATTTAATGTCTTACAGTTTTTTTAATCCCTTATTTCCTCCATCACTATTTTTCTCATGTTTAATTGATTTTCTTTTGTAGTGACATATTGCTATTCTCTTCTCATGTCCTTAGTGCTTATTCTATAGATACTTTCTTTGAAGTTACCATGGAGATTACATATTATATTCTATAATTATCACAATATCTTAAGTTAATACTAAATTAACTTCAGTCATATGCAATAACTCTACTCCTGACAAGTCTGCCCCCCTACTTTAAGATATTGATGTCAGAAATTACATGTTTATATACCATGTACTTGTTGGCATAGATTTATAATTATTTTTATCCATTTTTCTTTAAATACTGTGGAAAAGAAAAAGTTAAGTTGTAAGCGAAAATTACTATAGTATTCCTTTTCATAGTTTTTGATGTGTTTACCTTTAATGAAGAAATTTTCTTTTTATATGACTTCAAGTTACTGTCTAGTGTCCTTTCATTTCAACTTGAAGTACTCCATTTTGCATTTCTTTTAGGGCATTATACTGATAATAAACTCCTTAACTTTGTTGTTGTTCTGGGAAAATCTTAATGTCTCCCTTGTTTTGCAGGACCAGTTTTGCTGGATATAACAGCCTCAGTTGACATTCTTTTCTTTCACAACTTAAATATGCCATGCCACTGCATTCTAACCTTCAAGGTTTCTGCTGAGAAATCTGATGATAATCTTATTAGGGTTCCCTTGTCTGTGACAAGTTGATTTTCTCTTTCTGCTTTCAAGATTCTCTATTTTTCGTTGACTGTTAACAGTTTGATTAGAATGTATCTCATTGTGGATCTCTTTTGGTTTATCATACTTGGAGTTCATTGAACTCCTTGGATTTGTATATCTATGTCTTTTCTCAAATTTGAGAAATATTTAGCCATTATTTCTTCAAATTCATATTTGAATAGTTGTTTCAAATTTGTTGTCTAGTAAGGTTAATGCCTTTGTTTCTTCAAAGACTGTTTCTAGAGATTTATTTTGTCCCTTTGAATGAGCCCTGTTTCCCCATTTCTTTGTATGCTTGTGATCTTTGTTAAAAAAAAATTAGGCATTTTTAAAAAATCAACCATCTCTTGCAGTCTTTGCAGAATAAAGTGGAAGATGTTCACTAATTAGTGAGCCTCTCACTCTTGAGAGCAACCTGGGGTAAAGACTTAAAGTCTCAGTCTTTTCTGGATATGTGTCCAGTGTGGGTTTGTGTGTGCACTTCTAAGTTTCTTGTCATTGTTTGCTTGTTTTTTCCAAGTGTTTTGGAATATCTTAAATTCCAATAAGCCTCAACTCAGCTTATTCTTGGGGCCTTAGATGTTTCATTGTATTCTTCTGCCTGTAATCTGTGACCCATAGGTATCCATGGGTCTGCAGTACTGCTGCAATTTTCTTCACAGTGGCACAGACCGCTGATTCCCATAGCTTCCAGTTGGAGATCCAAACTGTGCCACCATTCCCCATCTGAGCTCCAAATCAGGAAAGACAGAAGTCAGTCCCTCAGGCAGCCCACAGAGAAACTAGAATGTTGTCAAACAGTTTTTCTCTGCTTCTCTTTTCCTTGAAAGGAAACTGGTAATTAGGCCACTTCCTCTCAACTGCACTGTGCCACAACAGGTAAAGTGCAAGACACGAAAGAGTAAAAACCCCATGAAATGCCCTACTAATTTGAATGTGGTATTTTCTTCACTGGGCATTTGTGTGATTGCTGTAGATCTTTGACCGGTTCCCAGAGCTCCTGTAGAATTATTTTAGTCTGGTGATAGTTGTTTATCTGGTATTTCCATGGAGAAATGAGGGTCTGGTGCTTTATCTCCTAGTATCTACTGATGTCACTGCCCAGCTTGCTAGATTATTTTGAAATGACAATGAGAACATTAAATATTTAGAAAATAAAATGTTGATGTTCAATATAATTCTCACACTATACAGCAAAATAATTTTTATATGTTATCAAAAACTTGATTAAAAAATAAATAAAAATCTATAAAAAATATAGGTTAACCCATTTGGAATGGTGAGTATTTACTAAGAATGAAATCACTTAATATATTCTAATAGGATTTTTATTTATTGAAGGTTTATATCCATACCCTATTTTATACTAATTCAGCAATGAAAAATGAAAAAATTTTGCTGTAATTACTATTGTTTTTACACATAGTTTTAATAAAATATTTTAGGAATTCAACATCTGCCTAGACATTTTTTTCCTTCTTATGGAGTCACTTAAAAGATGTGTGAGAACATGTCTATTTGTATGTACAGTTTTCAACTGCAGATAATAGAATCACTTATTCAAATGGTTTAAACTATGGTAAATACATGAGTCGGTCAACTGGATGTTCGGAATTAAGACAGATTCCTGAAATGGTCAATTTCCTGTCTCAATAATGATATGGAAATTCCAAGTTCTTGATATATCTCTTCTATTCCACCCATGCTGTTGCCTCCGTCTTTGGACTATATATAGCAAGATGGTGCCAACAGTTCAGTGTCCAAAATCTAGTTGCAGAAATGTTCAGAGTAAAAGAGAGATGTTCTTTTTTAACACACAGTAGTAGCATTTCCAAGAAGAACTCTTATTCAGTTTCCCTCACATTTCATTAAACTGGAGATTGGGTAATAAGCCCTCTGTTGAATAAGTTTCTGGAAAGAAACAGGTAATATAGTAGAATTCAAACCAAAGAATGTTGTCATCCTTTCTCTGGGAAAAAAAAAAAATTTGATTGGTACCTAAGCTGTCTTACTTCTTAAAGAAATTGCATGTTAGTTCATGGTCACTAAAGAACTAAATATGCCTAGAATAAATGTCTTCTTTGGTTATTTCCTCAATAGCTGCACAAGACTTTAATGATATTTCTCTCTATTACAGTGAGCCAAGGAGGCGTTGCGCTAGTATCCGACATGTGTCCAGATCCTGGGATTCCAGAAAATGGTAGAAGAGCAGGCTCTGACTTCAGGTAGGAGATGAAGGAGTGGTTGGGAAAGATTTTTGTTTGTTTGTTTGTTTTCTTTTTTTTTTAACACATATATAATTTCAGCCTGCCATTTTTGTTTGTCTTTTGTCCTTTTGATGTAAAGGTACAACTTCTCAATTGCTATACGGCTATATTAACTGTAGAACTCTAAAACATACTCTGAGAAATACTCTGGAGTTGAAACCTGTCACTATGTGAGCCAATAATATAAATTTAACTCTAAAAGTATATTGTCAAAATTGGTCTTCAGGATGTTTTCCTTTTTTTCATCTGTTACTATTTCATATTCTAATGTTTTTAATGTGTGAAAAATAGGGGGGCAAAATACTTAATCATAAGCTCATAATTATTTTATTAAATAAACTTTAAAAAATAATGCAGGTTAGTAGCAACCAATGCAGTTTATTAAGAAAATGTTGTGAATATTATTACTAGGATTATGAGGAACCAGAGACTTTTCTAGTTGCTACATCATGAATGCTATAGTGATTATAATTATCCTGTCACTTTGGACTTTTACGTTTCTTTCAATTCCTAAAATTTTCCACCTTACAAGATGGATACTAGTATTAGGAATAGCTGTAAAATCAAAGAGTAAAGGGAAGCAGGAAATGTGTTTTTCCTCCTGAAAATCTCACCATTTTTGATAGAAACAAAAGAGATAGATGCAGAAAATTAAGGCCATTAAAGTAAACTAAAAATTGGAGAAAAGTAAAAGTGGGATGGGGTCCTCTAGAATGCTAAGCAGGGAGCTGATTCTAATGGGAGACTAACTTTAGTTCAATCCCACGGGGCACCCTGGGATAGAAATTGTACCTACACACAGGCCCACCTTGGTACCTGCCATCCTGCCTGTCAACCATTGGCTTTCTTCCCTTCCTGTGGCTGGAAAAAGTTCTCTAGAGAAAGAGTCATTGGTAAACAGTCGTTAGCAAGCCCTTGAGTTTGCTGCATGGCTGTATCAGCTACTAACACCTCAACCAGGAATCAGTCAAGAAAAAGGAGCTAACAGAGAAATATGCTGGCTTTCTGTTATCATAGAAAATATCTGTCATTTGCAGACATTCAAGAATTTTATCTCTTTTGAAAACAAAATAAAATAGATAAAATTATACATCCTTCCAAGGGCTTTCCATCCTATGTTTTCCTTCCTTGAATTAAAGTCACCTCATTTGTGTCCCTCATTGAGGAGACAGTGTTCCTCATGCTTCCTTTCCAAAGAACCTGTGTGCAGCCCTTCATTGCACACAGGTTTTAGAGTTGACGGCAATGAGTCATCACGAGGTGCTTGCATGTTCATTTTCCCGCCTGAATTAGGCTTCCCCAGGGTGGAGCTGGTATCTTATTTATCTCTGATTTTTCAGTGACTGAAGTAGTGCCTGGCATGATAGAACTCAATGCACATATGCCAAAAAGCACTTTATTTTTGAGGGCTTCTATCCATCCAATATTGTAATCCCTGGAATGCTTCCCAGGAATCTAGAAACTTCTTTGGTCTAGGTTGTAGAGCTCCATTGTAAAACATAGCAAATTAAATTATATTTGACAATACCGAATTCTTCACATTGCATCCCATGATGAAGACAGCTAGGGAAAATGCTTAAACTTCAAAAGTTAACAGAGAAGTTATGCACATCTGGGGCCAGTATCTATTTTGCACAAGGGCAATAATGAAAAATTTATAGTCTTCTAGGTGAATATGCTGGTACTTCATTCCTAGCCTAATTTCTTATGAGGAGGTTTAACTGTAAGGGTTATGTTGATCCGGCTGGGGTGGGGGTTGGAGGGAAGCCAGCCTGTGTAGACATGTGGCCAGTCAAGGATGGATTGTAGAACCTTATCTCAGAAGAGACTATCTTTCACTGTCTTTATGTGGTTTACATGTCTCTGAGTTTGTGGCAATGGCAATCAATTAATATAACATCTGGTAAAATTATTTGCAAGATTACATTTTCTATTAAATACAAATGCAAACTATTTTTATCATCTCTGGAGGGTGTGTATGTGTGTATACAAATATATACATAACCGTGATAAGCTAGTTCTAGTAGGTTTTGGTAGGTTTCATAGGAATTTCTCCCTAGATGATATTGTCATCAGCAAACAGAGTTTTAATTTTGCTTTCCTAGCTGAATATCTCTTATTTGTTTTTCTTGTTTATATTCACTGGCTAGAAACTATTTTACAAGACTGAATAGAAATAGTGAGACACCCCTTTCTTATTCCTGAGCTTAGGTGGAAAGCATTCTGACTCTCATCTTAAGTATGAGATTACATGTAGGTTTTTCATAGATGCCTTTTATCAGGTTGAGGAAGTATGCATCTATTTATAATTTGTTGAGAGTTGTAGGGTTTTTGTTTTGTTTTGCTTTTTTGGTTTAAGTCAGAAATGAGCATTGAATTTTTTCAAAAGTTGTTTCTTTTACACTTAGTGGGATGATCATTTGTTTGTCTACTTATATGTTTAGTTTGTTAATATAATTAATTTATTTTTCAGTTTTAAAAATCAATTGCATTCTAGGATAAAATTAATTTGGTTAAGATATATTATCCTTTTTATATACTGTTGGATTTGACTTATTAAAATTCTGTTTAGATTTTTTGCAGATATGTTCATGAGCAATGTTGGGCTATAGACTTTTCTTGTAAAGACATTGGTTTTGCTATCAGAGTAATAATGGTCTCATAAAATTGATTGGAAAATGTTCTCTCTTCTGGAATATACTAAGAGAGTTTGTGTATAATTGGTAATATTTCTTTCTAAGTTGTTTTGAATAATTCACCAGTGAAGCCATCTGGAATTAGAATTTTTTTATGAGAAGGTTTTTAAGATACAAATTCAACTTCTTTTCTACTTACGGGCTTATGTACAATAGGTTGCCTGTTTTCACTTGAGTGTGCTCTGATAGTATGTACCTTTCAAGGGATTTTTAAATTTCATCTCAGTTGTCAAATGTATTGGTATAAATTTATTCACAATATTCCCTTATCATCCTTTGAATCAGTAGTGATGTCACAGCTCAAATTATTTTTTTTCCTTTTTTTTTTAAATTTCTTGCATATTACAGGGGTACAAATGTTTAGGTTACATATATTGCCTTTAGAACAAGGGACAGTTCTTAGAACATGGGACAGCAGAAGCCACGCATGTTTATGTGCAGGCTGGTGGGCTGCAGCCAAGTGGAGATGCCATGTGACCCTTAGATGTCCTTAGCACAGTGACATGTCCTTAGCACAGCTATGCGTAGGCTGCACCATCTAGGTGTGAGTGATGTTTGCACAGCCCCGAAATTGCCTAAGCAGTGCTTCTCAAGCATCATCCCTGTGGTTAAGCGAGCCATGCCTGTGTCTTAGTCCACCTCGGCCCTCCCACCCACACAGCTGCTTCTGCTGCGGAGCAAGGGTCTCTTCCCTCCCGGTGCATTCCATCCCAACTCTTCAACTCGTCCCGGCACCTGTGTGTGCTAACACAGATTTATGTCCCTATCACCTTGCTGAATCATGAGGTTCTGGAGGAAAGGAAAGAGGACTTATTTGTTTTGTTTTCCATGACGGAGCTCAACATGTGGCAGATTCTTTTCCTGTTGAACTGGATTAAATCAACTCTAACAAGCCTGTCCCTAGGGTTGCATGATCATAGCTGCATTAGTGCTCTGCCGAACCAATTAAGTTAACCACTGCTGGTCAGAGAACCGACTAGCAATTTTTCTTTTTTTAAAAAAAAAACACATGACCTCTGCTCAGAAGTGAATTTGGGTAATGGAGGAGTGATAGACATGACTTAAAAACTAAATAGTTAATTTGTGTCATCGATACGCACATGTTCCTCTTCATGGTAGTGACTTCTGTTCTTCTGTCTTAGCACTTTTTACCTCCCAACATGTTATGTGTCTTTCGTTGTATTTTCTACACATGTTTTATAAGATTAAGGGGTGTCAAATGGAATTCATAATCATCAAACGGAAGGAGAAACTGAAGTAAATAAAGGAAAAATTGTATAATCAGTGGGAAGTAGAAACAAATCCACAGCCCAACTATCTGGGTAAACCGCTTCTCATTTCTAATTTCCACATTTTGTGATCCTCCTTTCTTGTAATGCATTGCTAATTTTATTTATAGTTATTACAGTGTAGCTGCAATGGGTTTATTATTTCTCCACCATAGGTCAATTTCGGTGACAACAGAGTTTCTGCCTCTCGTTGCATGAAAATGAAAATAATTACACTTACAGACAGCGTGTAAACCAGGGAATAAATCTGGTCTTCGTTTCCTCAAGAATTGCATTTTATTAAGTTCCATTATTAAATTATCTTTTAAATCATGAAGGAATGAGGGACACACAGGTGCACTATGAGCCACCACAGGCTTTATTCTCTGTGGTGTCCAAGGGTGCCTGTGTGAGAACGTCGTCTTTAGAGACACACCCGGGGACTCTGATCATTGCCCTCCCGTACGTCCACCTGCTTCGGGTGGCTTTGATTCTTTTTCTTGGTGTCCTTTTTTTTTTTTTTGTAATTTGCTATAATGGAAAATTCAGTTATACTCATGAAGTTGGAGCAGGTGCACACACCTGAATCTTCACATCTCTATTTCTGTGATTCTGTGATTTTTGCCGTGATTCCTTGCTCTCTTCTGTCCTCTCCACGATGCTGAGATAGGTTGTTGTACACTGAGCGTGGATAATAAGCCCCTGTCGTGACTCAAGCCTTCACCTCATCCGCTGTCTGGCGATACCCCCCCCCCGCCGTGCTGTGCGGAGTGGACCTTTCCTCCCCGAGTCCTCTCTCCCTCTGACCTTCCCTCCAACTTCCCACCACGGACCGCCATAGGAGAGTAGGTGTGTGTGTATATCGGCACTTTTATTTTAATAAATGTGGTGCACATTTATTTATCCTCTCTCCCCCACAAGAGTGTTAGTCCCATGAAGTACAGAACTTTGTTTTATTCATCAGCACGTTTCTACTGCCTGGCCTGGCATCCAC